GTTATGTAGGTAGGTAGATAAAGGGATAGAGAGGGAGAGAGAAATAGAGAAATACAATAGGTAGGTAGGAAGAAAGAGAGTAGTTATGTAGGTAGGTAGATAAAGGGATAGAGAGGGAGAGAGAAATAGAGAAATACAATAGGTAGGTAGGGAGAGAGAGAGTAGGTAGGTAGGTAGGTAGATAAAAGGATAGGGAGATAGAGAAATAGAGAGAGATAGAGAAATACAATAGGTAGGTAGGAAGAAAGAGAGTAGTTATGTAGGTAGGTAGATAAAGGGATAGAGAGGGAGAGAGAAATAGAGAAATACAATAGGTAGGTAGGGAGAGAGAGAGTAGGTAGGTAGGTAGATAAAGGGATAGAGAGGGAGAGAGAAATAGAGAAATACAATAGGTAGGTAGGGAGAGAGAGAGTAGGTAGGTAGGTAGATAAAGGGATAGGGAGATAGAGAAATAGAGAGAGATAGAGAAATACAGTAGGTAAGTAGGGAGAGAGAGAGAGAAATAGAGATATAGAGAAATAAAATAGATAGGTAGGTGTTTCTGCTGGCACAAGCACTTGATCAATATAATTCTCATCAATCAGTTAAAGAGCTTTCCAAAAGGGAAAAACAAGTTTTTGCACTGTGCAAACCTCCCCAAAATGGCCTGTTTTTCACAAAAACAGGCCCGTTCCCCCCCCCCCAAAAGGCATGAATAGCCTTGCAAAGTGCTCCGGGGGGAGGGGGAACATGCAAAAAAAGCCCATTTTTCACAAAAATGGGCCCGTTTTCCATCAAAGAAATTGCATGCATAGCCTTATGGAGGCTTATAGAGTGCTCCTGTGGGGCTGGGTTTTGTTACTCATTTCTGCTCTCCCCAGCCCCCAGGAGCTCTCTAGAAGCCTCCATAAGGGTATGCACAGCCATTTGGGTGAAGGGGCGGGACTTCAGGAGGCAAAAAATGCTGTATTCGGTGTATAAGACGCACCCAGATTTTCAGCCTCTTTTTTGAGGAAAAAAGGTTCGTCTTATACTCCAAAAAATACGGTACGTGCATTGCTAGAATTTTAAAGAAACAGTCAGTGCAGAATTGTTATGGAAGTCTGTCCAGCTTTGAAACGAGGTGGGCGGCAAGCAAACAAACAAACAAATGGGATCAACCAAATTGAATGCAAGGTAAAGATGGGATAGGAGCCCAAATGCTAAACTTTATATTTATCTCTGGAATGCACAACCCAAAGTGCTATTTTTACATAAATAAACTGAAAAAGCATGGTACCCTCTCCCAACTATATTAATGTTCTTCTTCACTCTGAAAAAAACAAAGACAACTATCAGCCTGTTCTTCCTCACCAAGAATGTTTCATAGATTGCTCTCTGATACATAAGCAAAGAAAGGAAATGTAAGGTACAGAATATTTCCTTTACTATGCAGATGTAGATTAAAAGTAAATAGAGTAATTAAAAGTAAAATGTAATTAAAAGTAAATAGAGTTAGCGAGGTAGATAGTTGTCTGGAAGGCGGTTTAGGGAATTGCAGTATCTACTATATTATAAGCTCCAGAAGGTAGATTCTCTTTGGGTGGAAAAAATCCCCTTCATCTGATATGTACCAGGAACATTGTTTTGCTTTTCTCTCCACTTCCTATTAGACTTTTTTTTTTTTTGTATAATAGTGTTCTGGATGCTTTCTTTCTAAGTCTGTTCCTTGCTTTATAGAACCAGCAAGCAACTGTACTGGCCTCTCAAGAGAGAAGTGGAAATCCAGCTCCCCGCAGACAGCAGGCCTACGTTGCTCCCCTGCCAACAACAATTGCTCAGGCTCCGTATACATTCCAGCATAGCAGCCCAGTCCACCCTCACTTGGCAGCGGCCACAGCAAGCCAGCCTCACATGTACACCTATGCGCCTACTACTGCTGCCACCTTGGGCTCCACCAATTCAATTGCTCATCTCTTTTCCCCTCAGGGCTCCTCCAGGCATACCACATACACAACCCATCCAAGCACTCTTGTGCACCAGGTCCCAGTCAGTGTGGGGCCCAGCTTGTTAACCTCTGCCAACGTAGCACCTGCTCAGTATCCACATCAATTTGCTGCCCAGTCCTACATTGGCGCTTCCAGAGGATCTGCAATTTACACTGGATACCCACTAAGCCCTACCAAGATTAATCAGTATTCTTACTTGTAATATGGGGGCAGAAACTGTCTTGAAGTCATGAACGATCATAGAGGTGAAGGGATCTGCGGTAGGCTTTGCAGTATTCTAACAATTCCACAACAGGAATCTCTGTGGAATCCAAGGAAAATAATGGGGAATCACCCCTTGTTGACAATTCTGCTTATGCTCTCCAGAATCAGGTGGTACTGTTGGTGGAGCCCTGCTGTTCAGGGGAAACATAGGTGATGACTGGGTAGAATCTTTTGAATCAAATTCTCATTAAGATTTTACATTTAATTTTTATTCATGCTTTAAAAACAAACAACTAGGGCCTGAACCCCATTTATTTAAAGCTATTACGTTAATCAGAAGGGAAAATGACTTTTTTTTAAAAAAGCTGTTCTTTAAAAAATGTATTAGAGTTAAATAGTACTTGTTTAAATTATTTTAGCAGCTTGCACAAACTCATATTGCCACTAAAATGCACATTTAACTCTAGGTTGCTAGGGCTGTTTTATAAACTTGAGTTAATATTTTAATTTTAATTTTGTAATTCATCTTCTTGGAAGGCAAGAGCTGAATTCGACAAAAGCAGTTATTTCCTCTCTCTTTAGCTTCTCTTATCTATGTACATAGACATATGTATATCGCTTTTTAATTCCCTAATTTTAATTATTTCTGTTTAAGGATAGTGTAGCATTTTTGTATACAGCTTTCTTTTAAATCACAGATTATTTTTAATGTGTGATTTTTCAAAATGAAGAGAGAGGGTTTTTTTCCAGAAACAATTGGAGAAAGATGAATTTGCTTTCTGTTGTGAGATCACAGTCTGCAATGTTACCATGACTGCATTGTCCATAAGCTCTTGCACTTAGCTGAACGTATTTAGGATTGCATTGCTGTTTCAGGGCAGAAGCCTCTGGGAAGTACTTCCTGTCAGGTTCACTAAACCGAATAGATGTGCAGTTTCTGGAGAGTTTTATCTGAGATTTAGGCCATTCAAATTACATTCTTTCAGTTTAAAAATAACATTTAGAGCTGGATTCTTTTCGCAGAAATGGAAGGGTTTCTTCCCCATCTTGTCTTTCTTTGCCTGGTTCATTTAGCTGAAGAATCCAAAATTCACCTTAGCATCCACTTACTGAAATGTAAACTTTTTATACTTCTGCTAGCACCTCCTTCTAGGAATTTGTTGGCAAGAAACATTAAAGCGCTCTTATTAAGACTTGTATACAATACATGCATGTAGGAATTGCAAAAACATGACACAAAATTGCAGATTTTAAATGTTTATTACTGAATTTAAAACTATTTTAGAAGTTTTGTAATGGTGATGTTTTAATATTTTACAGAAAATGAAATATGTACATATTGATTAGAATTAAATACAACAAGCAAAATTTCCTGCTAATCCCAAATGTTCTGTCTTTGTAATCAAAATGTGTAGTGATTATACTTGAACTCTGTACTTAAGTGTTTGTCTAACTCTTAAATGTTTCTGGGGATGAAATTGATATATTCCTTTGTATTTAAACCAAAATGAGTTGTTAATACATGTTGGAATGTATGTGAAATAATGCAATCGCCTAGAGCTCATCACTGTAGCACTGAGAGAGAAAGAGAGAAAAGGAAAAAAAAGCTGCATGAGAGACAAGGATATCTTCTGATTTGTTTTGCACAGGTATGTGTGACTGGTGTGTAACCCCCCCTCCCCCAATATTGTAGTGCCTTAAATGATTATGTAGTGTGACTAGAGTTTACAGTGAGCTTGCCTTACGATGGACCAGCAAGCCCTCCGCTCTCCGTCAAATTGAAGCAATTCATTGAATATGTCCCACTAAGGCTAGATATAGGTAACGAAACCATTTGCTTTAAGTTTCAATGCCAACATAAATGGAACAATGGGCATCATTCAGCCAAAGCGGAGTACTTCTGTAGTCTTGCTTACTTCAGCTGGAAAGAATGTATCCAAATTTGGTTCTCCTGAGATGGCCAAATGAGTTCAGACATCAAGCCAAGCCATGCATTTGTTAACCACAATATAAAATGCAGACTATGCTTTGAGTTTCAGTCATATGGCAGCCAAACCATGATGTAGGATAGTCTTCTCTAGAAAGTATTCCTTTCCTAACCTGATAGCTTGTAAACAAGACTGTTCCTTCAAGATATGCCAAACAGCCTGTCATGCTGATTGGGGGTTAATGGGAATTGGCATATCTAGAGTAGACAGTGTGGGGAAAACATTGTATGGCATGGTTTGATTATGGCATGTATACCTGAAGACAAAGTAATTTGGTTTGCCAGTTCAAACAATAAGTTTGTAATCAAGTTCAAATTACAGCTGCTAATCAAGGCTTAGTCTGGTATATGAAATGCTTCTAAACTGAAGCATTCAGACCTAAGCATTTTAGTTTGATTGACCCTCCCCCCCTCAAAATTGTAACTATTCTAGCTGTTGATGCATCTTTAAGAGTATTATGCTGGGAATGCATTGGGAAGCATATTTGGTATTTCAGAGGTGTTTAAGCATGTGCAATGTCTTTCCCTTAGGGTATACTGTAATGTTACCCATGTGTGTAGCAGAAATTGCTTATAAAATATTTCTAGTTTGGTGTTACAATTAGAACTTTTATACCAAAGAGAGCTTACTGGAAAGCACATAATCTAAGTTTTATTTAACACCGCTAGTAATTTGGCGCTTTTGGAAAGCTTAGAAAACTCTAGCACTTGCTGTAAGGAAATAACACATGAACTGGCTTGCTAGTGGTGAGCGTCTAAATCTCTTGGTTTCCCGAATTCGGTCACAATTGTTTATTTCACCACTGCCATTATGCAACGACTGTTCTTGGCCAAATGGAGAATTAACTATCTTGGAGAGTGGTATTGCTACAGCAATAAAAGGCATTAACAGCCTTGGAGCCCAGTTTGTATTCCATCCAATCTACATTAAATGACTAGATTTTGTACTTTACAAAAATAATAATAATAATCTAAGAATATTAAACCAATTTCTGGAGCATGCATGTTCACATGTTATAATAGTCCAAATGTGAACAGTTTTTGAAATGGTAACTGGCAATAACTCTGACCCATTAGTCAGGAATTGGGGAAGGGGGAGTCATGATTTCAGTGAGGCCAAGATTTCAGAGGTCTTAAAGCCACTTACCCCAATAGCTCTAAATAGTCTGTGGACCACAAGCCTTACAGTTTCCTTTTTAGTGAGGAATCTGTTGTCTTTGGCAATAGAGGAGAGTGGTTAACAGTGTGACTAGCTGTGAACATTTGTTTACTGTACTCTTGTTTTGTTGTATTTTTTCTTCTTCTGTATTGATGTGAAGATAACCAAGGAATTTCAGTTCTTTACATCACTGGTGTCAACAACAATTTCTGTTGCTGTAACATTCTCAGAATAGTTTTCTGCTTAGTGCCATGACCTGTAGCTCAATTCGCCTTATAGAAAATCTGAAAGTGGATTATTTTACCAATTAAGCATATTAATATTAAAATATTACTAGAATATTTCCAATGCGGCAAGGATTTTCAGTAAACCTGCTTGGAAAATGTAAAGTACAGGTCTTAAAAAAATAACCTATCCTTGAATGGGTTAATCATTTTTACCTCAAAGTCAGTTCACATCTTCTGAGTGAACAAAAGAACTGGGTTTTCAAGAAAACTTTAAAGTAATTTTATATAATCCAAATTAAGCAATTATGAATCATTAACAAAAGACATTTCCCCAAGTTTTTGATTCTGACTTCCTCAGTAATTTGCTCCAGAGACCAGACACTTCATATCTGGAAGCAAATAAAATATATTAAGAGTTTTCTCTAAAAGGCCTTCTTCTCACAAAGCATGTGAGATAGCAAGTTACACACATAGCATACTACTGCCTCTAAGCTCTTTTAAAATCTCTCAATGTGCACCTGGGATGTTTGTCCAGATGGACACCATCCCAGGAAAGGAGACATAACTCCAGATGCTTTGGTTTGGGAACTCCCCCACCCCCTTTGGTACCTGTATTGGCTTCATGATTCTTCCTGGCTGAAGATGGGGCGGGGAGATTTTTGAAAGTAACCCCTCATGATTTGTGAGAACTAGGCTGCAGGGGCATCTTTTTCTCCCAGTGCATTTCCAGGTTGCCTCATAATGAAAAAGAGAGAGCAATAGCCTCACAGTTGTGCAGCCTACAAGTAACAGAACCTATTTTATGCACACAAATCAATGTTTCAAAAATTTAGTTTCCTTTTTTCTGAGGGAATTTGGAATATCTTCATATTATTATGCCTGCATTTTCTGCAAGTTCTGACATTGGTAGGACTTGCCTGTGGGTAGCTATGCTTTTCTCTGCAACCTGAGCTCATTTGTAAGTAAATTTATTTTTAGTAATAGCAAGACAAATTATGCTTTACTTAGTCACTTCTGTGATTAAACCTATTATTTAACATTCTTGATAGCTGAACTTTCACCTCATTGTTCTTGATACTCCACTGCAAAGGCAGCTTCTGAGCTTTACTGCTTGCACATAGTTAAACAGTGCAGTACCATACCTCTGATTTCAATATTTTTTTAAACATAAAATTCAATTGCTTCTAGGTGACTGGGATTGGCACAGCCCTGCTTTCTTGTTTTAATTTTTAACTTATGAATGGTGCCGCATGTTGACATAGTTGTTTGTTGCTAAACTTTATATAATGTGTGATTTCAGATTCAGCTTGAACTATTATCTAATTCACTACATGTAGCAGTGCATTATATGTAATGTTAGTATTTCTGCTTGACTCCTTGATATTGCAATGGAATTCCTACTTTATTAAATGTATTTGATATGCTAGTTTACTGTGTAGAATTTAACTTTTTTCTGGTTGTGCTCTTCCTTTTTACAAGCCGCTAGATAAAGGTAGTTTCTGACAATTATTGATCTATGTTTGTATTGCCAATGTACTTAGGGGATAATGTAAAAATCATTTTAACAAGAGGAAATACAGATATTTAAAAACTTTAATACTAACTATATGGGAAAAGGGTCCATTGTGAAAACACGGTTTATCTTTGGATTCAATGTTTGTCTTTGGTTTTACAAAGTAGCTTGTATTTTAAGTATTTTCTACATAATATGGTAAAAATGTAGAACAATTGCAATGCATCAATAAAAAAGTTACTTTTCTGTATTCTATTAATTTGTTGATTTCTGAGTGAAAACATCTTGTGGTTAACTCCATTTTTAAATCCCAATTGTACATCAAGGTAAAATGAAAGAAGGAAAACCTTGTGCCAAGTCCCATTTTTATGTAAAGGATACCATGTAAAAGCAGAAAGGGGAAATGGAAAGCTGTCTAAGAGAACAGGGAATTTGTCAGCAGCACTGCATGGGGTAGTTTAGCACTTGAGAGTAGGGCATAATTTGATGTCATGATCAAAAAGAATTTTTGTTGAATATGGAGATGGTCTGAAGATAGAGAACCATGTTTTTTTTATTTTCCTTTGGTTCCTTCTGGGCTGAGAGGCAGTGATCTGCATTCATATGCTCAAAGAACTGAGACGAAAGAAAATGGTACCTTGGCAATGATATAGAGAGCAGGTTTTTCCCACTGCAGAGTAGAGTAGCTTCAGAAACTGGTTATATTTCATCTTGCTTCGTGCTCACTCCCACCCATCGAGATCACTCCATTTTCCATGCCTTTCTGTTCTGAATAGGCATTCCTTTTCCCACCGGAGCTGTTCCATGGATCACGGCATATACTGAAAATTTGCAAGGAGAGCCTTCAATTGCAGTATGAACCAAATGAGCTATAGACTCAGCATAGAAGCATGATAAACTATCCCTACATGCTATTCACATTTCTATCATGTATTGGAATTAGCTTTATATATTATGTATACTTTCTCTGGTGTCATATACCAACAAATGTCTTATAAACAATTCTTTTTAAGTTCATAACACAATGTAAATTTCAACCCTTTTGATCATGTAGTTTTCCAATTGGTACACTGTAACCAGTGCATCATACATTTTTAACCTATTCTTCCTCCATTTCAAATTTCAGGAAAAGTTTAAACATTTCAGCAATTGCATGCTCACCATCAATGCATATTTGAATTTTAATTCTGTCTTATTTTGCTCCAGGCCACAAATAATTTTATCCATTTTGAATCTTTTTGATAACTGTAAATGGGGAAACAAGACAATACTTGGTTGGTGGGAGTTGGCTCATGCCCCTCCTGCTGGATCTAATGGGACTGTTGGATGTAATTGGAGAGAAATAGTCCCTAAAATAATGTCCTATGCCATGAAAGGCTTTATGTTATGACCACGATCTTGAAATGCATCCAGGAGCAACCAATGTAGCCCAAAGAACGCAAGTGTAGTGTGTGCTGATTGAGGGTTGTGCATAGTTGCATTTTGCACCAGCTGAAGCTTACAAATACTCTTCAAGGGCAGCCCCCATCTCCAATTACAATAATACATACAAGTTACCAAGGTATGAATGGTGAGAAGAATCTTCCAGACTAGGAATGGACACAAACAGTGCACAATATGTAGTTGATCAAAGGGCCTCCTGGCTATGGCTACCACTTGTTACTTTAACAGGAGGTAGAAGTCTGGAAGGACCCCCAAATTGCACACAGGTTACATTTGGGATAGTGCAATCCCATCGAACAAGATATGGAAAATCCCCAGAACCAAGGGCCTCTAGCATCTAAAGTCACTCGGTTTCTCAGAAGCCTATTTCCTAGATACTGAGCAGGACACACACAACATGCTTAATTGGCTCAGGTTGGATGTAAAGCTGCATATCATCCCCTCACTTTGTGCTACTAGTGAGAGGAAATACCAAACTCTGGTACCCCACAATCAGGAGCTCAGGTATGGGACCTCTTTCTCCCAATTAGCCCTAATTGGAACTGACCATACAGGAAGGAAGAAAATCAATATAACATAGTTTCCCATACGCCCAACCCTTGAGCCAATTTAGAAGGATAACATGGTAGATGTCCACTGAGCGCCCCTGGAAAATCAAGAAGAACAAGAATGGAGGCACTACCTCTATCCTGCTTCCACCAGAGGTCATCCAAATGTATGACCAATGCTGTTTCCATTCCATACTCATGCCTGAATCTTTCCTGAAAAGGATTCCTCTGGGATCCTCATAAATTGTTCCATGACTCCTGTCTCAACAACCTTTCTTAAAAACTATCATTAAGCTGAATAGGCTTCTCTACTTTTTTATCTAGATACGATATTTTTTTATTCTTCCCTACTTTCCTTATCATAATATGTAGCTGATCCCAGTTCATTCTTACAACAATCAATAGATAGACACACAAGATTTTATGCTGAAAGATGTCAACTATCCAGTTGACAAATCTAGAAAAAGAAACTCCTGGGACACTATTTTACCAAGAGTATAATTACTGAATAAACCCTATTGGCACAGATGAAGCAAAACCAAATCTGGGTTTCTTGTGCAAAAGCTAGTATAGGTAATCTGCCTCCTCCCCTATGAGCCACCCTGCAGTCCCTTATGTCCACCAATCACTTCTGTTAATTTTGTTATGGAAACCAGTCATGCTATGACATCTGCTTAGTGTGTCCTTGAGGTGGGACCACCATTTCATGGGAACTGGCAATGCTTGGATGCAATTCCCCCACCCCACCCTTGTATTCCATCCCACTCTCTCTTTTCTTTGTCTGCAGGCAAGCAAAATATAGGTGAAAGATTGAGTCAGTCTTGACATGAATGTATTTCTTGGAAGACATTCCGTGAAATATTATCTGCTACATTTTAAAATTAGATTTGGCAGAATTTAATCTGATATTAGAAACTCAAATTCTTGATTCAACTTAATAAAATATTGCAATCATTTTTCACTATATGTTTGCACATATTATTTTAGATGTACACCTAGCAATTGATTGTACTGTATGCTGTAGTGTTTATCCTACCTCAGATAATTTTGGAAGGTAAGCAGTGTTTTGGTTGGATTTGATTGGGGGAACCATCTGGGAATTCTAGGTCTATGGGCCAGACTACAAAATTAAAAGAATATTGAAGAAAGTATTGGCATGAAAACCGCTGAGAAAACTACTTGGATGTGGTCAGCAAAAATAGAGCTCGACTCAACAACATCTTTATCTTTTATTAGATTCTTTTGTTGTTGCTATTTAAAAGAACAACAAGGTGATTATTGTTAAAATGCATAGATAGAAAAATGTAAAGAAGAAAATAGAAAAAGTAAATGAATGAAAACTAAAATCACTGGTAGAGATAAATGTGATGGCTACTCTTCTAAGATGCACAGAGTCAGACCAAAGTGAGTGGTAATAACTTTTTTCCATTTTCCTCTATAAATAATAGAAGCATGATCTGTTGAAGCATGATCTCCCACCACATTCTTTATACTCATGCCCATTTACACCAGAAGACGTGCAGAAGGGGCTGGATTCTTTACAAAACAGTAAAGCTGCAGGATTTGATGGCATGTACCCAGGACTACTAAAGTACTGTGGACCAGCAACTAAATTTTGACTTTCCTCCTTTTTCAGTTCCATATTATACTGACGATGGCTGCTTCCTATATTCAAAATGACCAAAATTATTGCAATTTTGAAATCAGGAAAGGATCCAAACCTTCCCCAAAGTTACAAGCCAACTGGTTTTCTCTGTGCCACCAGAAACGTTTAGAAAGATTTGTGTTAAACAAAATAGCCCTAGCAGTAGAATCTGTAAATCAAATAGAACAAATTGGATTTCATTCCACACGTGATTTAGCAATCAAGTCCTTGTACTAACTTCCTACCTGAAGATTCCAAAGGAAAAGGAAAAATGTCTGTTTTTCTTGACTATGATATTGCCTGGAGAGAAGGACTTCTCAAATTAATTGTCCTTGTTATAACACCATTGCCTTGATTGACAACATGCTGAGTAGCAGGTTATTTCAAGTTTTCACAGAATTCAATTGAAGCAGATATCATAAGTTGAATAATGGTCTATCACAAGGATCACTAATATCACCTGCCCTTTTTAATTTGGACACCCATGACCTGCCTGAAACTGTTTCTCAAAAATGAATTTATTTCGATGATATCTAGCTCACAGACCAAAGAACCAACTTGAGTGATGCAGAGGTTATCCTTTCTTACGATTTTCAGAAGCTGGATGACTATTTCAAAAATGGTGTTTCCAACGAAGACTAACAAAAACAGAAGAAGCCATATTCCACCTCAGCAATAGGTACACAAATTACCAGCCTTCAGTGAAGTTCCAGAACCATATTTTACAATGTAATAATTCTCTGAAGTATCTGGGGATAACACTGGACAGATCACTAGCCTTCTGACAACAACTGAAAAAAACTGCAAAATTTAAAAGCTGCAACAATTTACTGGACATACTGACTGGAACATCCTGGGTGATGATGCTAACACCCTATGAACAGTAGCCTTTAATACAATACAATAGCAGAGTTGGAAGGGACCTTGAAGGTCTTCTAGTCCAACCCCCTGCCTAGGCAGGAAACCCTATACCATTTCAGACAAATGGCTATCCAACATCTTCTTAAAGACTTCCAGTGTTGGGGCAATCACAACTTCTTCTTAAAGACTTCCAGTGTTGGGGCAATCACAACTTCTGGAGGCAAGCTGTTCCACTGATTAATTGTTCTAACTG